GAATAGGTCATATAGTACTCTTGATTGCATGACTAGTCGATAAAAAGTCTTAATAAATATTCTATTCTATACAACATTTTCGTTACTTTTTGATCACACTTTATAGTATTTGGTAGACATCGTAATGCAAAATCCATGAGTTGTCTGTAAATAGATCTAGTTATTTCTGCTGGATTGCCGCATATAAATTACATAAATCTTGTATGTAGTATTGGTATGGATTATTGTTGAAAATTTTTAACTAATTTTCGACTCCAGTCAATATTATCGTTACTTTTTGATAACATCTTGTAGTATTTACCTTTTCCTGTTTCAGATTATCGAATTTTTATGACTTTATTGACATAACATCCTAAAAATTAATAAAAAGGTTTTACTTAGTTAATATATATAATGTAATATGTCCGAATTACTTGCTTTAAGATGTATAATTTTGAAACAGAGGTAATATATATATATATCTATTTCGGTATGTAGTTTCCAAGTGTGATTTCTTATGTTTTTTAATAAGCGTCTTCACCTATGTAGTTCTTATGTGTAATTTAATGTTATAATATATTTGCTATTTACAATCCTGTGGGTATTAATGAGACCAATGTTTATTTAAACAAACTTTTTCTAAACTAATGAATGTGCATGAACGTCTATATATCTATGTTCGAAACAATTTCTCTTATTCCAGTATCTACATGTATTAAGTTGCTGCGAGACTACTACACATTTTAATCGTTTTAATTCTATATATCCTGGCTTGAAGTACAAAAATGGGATGACCGATGTAATTATTATTCTGGCTTAAAGCACCAATATGCGATGACCGACATTATTATCTGGTGTTTTTTTTTCAAATAAAGATAAAATTATAAATATTTCCAAATTTGTCTAAAATATTTAAAACCCATAAAAATTATGTTTAAAAATGGAAAAATAAAAGCGACAAAAAACTATCAGCGACTGTGATGTCTTATCTCTGCCTTGAAACTAACAACTGAAAATTAAACCATTAAAGGAAAACTACTACTTATAAGTTTAGGGAAAAATAAAAAGTTCTTACTTCCAATAATTATGTTTGCAAGAGACACTTTAACATCCAAACTGGTTAGTAATTAGCGTCAAGAATTAATTGATCAGCACTCCTTTAATTTAACTTAACTTAACATTTAACTTTCATTTATAAAGTTTTTAATTATAACTTATAAATAAAAGTAGTTTGTGTTTTCAAATGACTTCATTTTAGTTATTGAATTATGACTTTCTTCGCATAAACACGTAGCATAAGAAACACTCATAAAATGGCCGTTCTGGATAGTACACAATTCTTTCGATTGTCTTATACATTTTGGACACTACTTGGCATAAATAATAATCAAACTGGATGGAAGAAACTGTATTGGATTTATGGCATATTAATTAACTTATTTTTTCCTATCAGTTTTTGCTGCAGTCTATTCATTGGACTTCTACAACCCCAGACGTTTCAAGAAAAATTGGAATCTGTTGTCGTTTTCATCTCAGCATTATCCTGTTGTGCGCAATTCCTTATTTATGCATTGAAAATTAAGGACATAAAGAAAGTTGATCATATATTAAGAAAACTGGATGAAAGAATTTTGTGGAATGAAGAAATAAATATATTTGAAGAAATGAGTAGTGACATACAAAATATGACTCACTTCTTTGGGTGGAGCTATTTGGCGGTTGGTGTTATGGCCATACTATCCGGCATTTCTAATATGTTTCAGTCACAACATAGATTGCTGTACTCTGCTTGGCTTCCATTTGATTGGCACAATTCGGCATTAGCATTTTGCATTGCAGGCTCTTTTCAATTACTGGCACTATTTTTTTGTATAGCTCAAAATTTTGCAGATGATTCATTCCCTCCGATATCTTTGAGATTATTGACAGGACATTTAAGTTGTTTGGAATTCCGTGTTTCAACCATAGGTCATCGAAGTTTTGATCATCCCTACAGAATAGTGATGTTGCAACCTTGTATACAAGATCAACTGGCCTTATATGAGTAAGTGTTGGTTAGAAATTTTGGATTGTGCGTAATTACGAGTATAATGTGTATTAATTTCAGATATTGCAAACAAATTGAAAATATTATTTCGATGCCGTTGTTGATATTATTTACACTGACGGGTCTTAATACTGGCTTAGCGTTAGCAGCAGTTCTCTTTGTAGCCGAAGGATTTTTTAATTACATGTATTATATTGTTTACTCCTTTGCTGTTCTATTGCGAATTTTCCCCGTTTGTTATTATGGGAGTCAACTTCAACTAAAATTTCAGCAATTACATAAAGCTGTGTACTTCAGTAATTGGATAGAAGAAGAGCGTGCATTTAAGAAAGATATGATTGTATTCACTGAACGTACCCTGAAGATGCAGACTATATATGCTGGTGGATTATTTCGTATTCATATGGACACCTTCTTTTCATGCTGCAAAGCTGCTTATTCCATGCTGGCGATGTTTCTAAAACTAAAAGCTTAAATGTTCAGAAGATTTTAATAAAATTAGGTAAAGAAATTCTTTAAGTTAAGACTCGAACTGCATTTTAAAGTAAAGTTAATAATTTTTTCAAAAAAATAATTTATGTAGAAAATGGCTTACAATATAAAAGTATGCCAGTAGTTTTAAAGTTTGCTGAAGTTAGGCATGTTTAGAGACCATTTTAATTGCTTGATATATACTAAAGTATGCTTTCCAAATTCCATTTAGTTCTTTGAGTTTCTATAACCAAATGTTGTGTATTTTACCATTTGAAGATGAAATAATAAATTAAGGCTTAAGGCTTGTAAAGAGCATACAATTGTCCTTTTAAAATATATTTTGTGGAAAAGAGAATATAAGCAAATTACTAAAAGGTCTGTGCTATATACACAGACAACTAGATGAACACATTTTGGAAAATGCAGAAGGTGTGATAAGAAAACACATGTTCGATGAAAAGTTTACCAAATCTCAGATAGATAGTTGGCCTGTAGTCCTTACACGAAAAGGACTTACTAAGGTTGTTGGATTAGGTGTTAGTTGATCAAAATCATCTATGTTGGCTTTGTACATACTGCCATTGAATAAAACATAGAAAAAAAGCATATCATATTCATATTGTAAATCATATGGTATGCATTGTATGTATTGTAAGAATACTTAAAATGCAGATTTTTATTATTAGTTGATAGAAATCGTTTTTAATAGCTTAAATCTGGTAATGCTTTTACTTTTAATGATAAATAGCAACGCATAGATATTAGAACTTATAAGATCTCAATCTTCTAATTCAGATTAAAATTAAACTAAGATCAGAAGATTAAACTTAAGATTAAAATTCTTGAATTGTATTTCAAATCAATTTACCATCTTCCTTATTTATCACATCTGGATGGCAGTATATTTTTTCATCCTTAGTGTCTTTAGTTCAAGATTCAGTTCGGTGTACAAAAATTTCCGTCAAATGGAGCAATAAATCCGTCAAAAATGAAGGCTTTGAGAATTTAGGGAATATGCACTATTTATTACTACATTATGACGAAAAAAGCAACAAAATTGTTTCTTTCAATTTTAGATACACCACTTTTTTAATAATACTTGTATAGAATAGGGTTGGGTTAAGAAATTGACCACTTTTTTACTGTTTATAATATTTGAGTTAGATATTATATCTATTTTAGTAAAATGGTTTTAAGTAATTATAATTAAAAAGTAATAGTCAATATTTCAACTAAATGTTTTTTACTTTTTTATATAATTAGTATTAATAAACATGCAATTGGAATGAATTTAAAAAGAAAATACTTTATGTACTAGTTAAACGTTTTTGTAGTACTGCATTACACAAATGACATACATAGTTTGATTAAATAATTAAGCAGCTATCATTAATTAAATTTATAGATTATTTCGTAATTATTTATATTTTAATATGGAGATATATAATAAGTGTACATAATGAAGAGCTACAAAAAATTTAATATGAAACGAAAGTTCCATCAATTTTTAAGACTACATCACATATAACTCTAATAATTTTTATTCAATCAAAATAATTTAATAATTAAATGATTATTATATACAATAAATTAAACAGATTACATAAACTCTTGTCAATATTTAATTATGTTGAATGATGGAGATAATGGTTTCGAAAATAAATTGGACTTTTTTAAAATTGACATCTATTCGATATTCTATAAGGTATATTGTTAACTGATGTATCCACCTTTAATGTCATTTCATAATATTTTGACGAACAGAAGCCAAAGTATTGAAAAGGAAGTAACAATATGTTTTTTTTATTATCCGTATAAAATAAGTATTGAACACAGAGCTATTATTAAGTATTATTTTAGGTTAGGTGCGGGAGGCGGCCTTATATACCAAAGTTCACTTGTATACAAACCCACATAAATCATAACCTGTTGTGATATAAGTTGTAGCATAGGCCATAAATAATGATATCTTTGTCTATGTTAATTTTGTTGACCACAAGCCATGCATATTCTTATTGATCTCTAGCGACAGCAGTTGGAACAAGGTTTCTATGTAAATTCATAGTTAGTTTGTCTATTTATTTTGCAAATTGAAGTATTGCGTGAAGATCTGTTCTTAAGTTTTCCTCTAATTTCTCTTTAAATTCACTTTAATTTTACATATTTTCGCGAATTCACCTGATTTATATATTAAAAGAGGTCATAGGTCCTCTTTTTATTTTCCTATCTTTCTGCATTTTCAGTGTACGTCTTTATTGATACTTTTCGAAACTAATACCACCTTAATCTATTCAGGTACTGTAGATAAAGGTTTTATATTGCATATAGCTAAATTACTTGAAGTAAACTGCAACAATTAAATGTATAACTATACATACATGTGTGACAAACCTACGTGACCATATATACCTAAGAAATGCCAACCTAACTCATTAAAAATATTAACTTTCTAGCCTTTCACCTTTCGTAATTTAAATATTTAGACAGGGTGTTTTAAAAGAAAATGATTTAATTTCAGAAGATGATTTCTTAAATGAAGAAACGATACAAATTGTTAGTTCGAAGTATCCATTTTCTATATTTATCGATCAATGCGATATCAAAGAACCGCACTTCGAAAAAAGCCCTCAGTTAAAAAACTTCTACTAGCTCAAAAATAGTTTAACCAAAAAGCTTAGGTTGCATACCAAAAGAAGCAGTAGGCACTGGGCTACTACTTCCAGATTGAAGTAAGTTACCACTAAACACCCTGTATATTTAAATAATTAATTTTTATATTTAATTATTGTGAATTTCACACCTGACAATTATGCACAACAATGGATTGTTACGCATTTAAAGTAAAGAATCAACTTTCTATTAGTAAAATGAGTCTCGTAAGTAGTGCAACTGTTTTCAAGGAACTTTGGTTTTGTTGGATGCTCTTAGGCGTTAATACAAAAAATATCAAATGGAAAAATATTTACTTAACTTATAGTGTAATTATGAACACGTTTATAACTTTATTATTTCCGTTTCATCTGTTTTTTGGACTATTCCAAATCGAAGAAGATATCACAGCGAAGATGTCAATATGCTCAACATCCTTTGCTTGTAGTTTGAAGTTCATATTTTATGCAATTAAATTGGAGAAAGTGCGCGAAATGGAGGTACTGCTACAGAAAATTGATAAAAGACGTCGAAACGGAGAAGAAGAACAAGAGTTTGAGAGAACCATAAGAACTGTGACAATTATGAAGCGAGCTTTTTTTTCTTTATACTCCTTAATTACGGTATTCTCTTTCGCAACATTGTGTCTGAAAAAGGAACGGAGTCTTTTGTATACAGCATGGTTACCTTTTAGATGGCAGGATTCTACACTCAACTATAGCATCGCGATTGTCTTTCAATTAATTGGTTTTCATTTTTGCATATTGCAGAATTTGGTGGATGATGTATTTCCGCCATTATCCTTGTGTATGCTTACAGGTCACATCAAAGTATTACATATGCGAATCTCTGGTATTGGCTATGATAGGAAAAATCAGACTACGAATGAAGAGGAACTGACTGAGTGCGTAAAGGATCAACAGAATCTGTATGAGTATGGGTTTTATTAAATATTTTTTATTGATATCTTTTATAGTGGTTTATTTGTAGATTATGTAATCTTATCAATGAAGTTATAGAATTACCTATGTTGGTACAATTTACAGTCACTGCAATCAATGTGGCCTTGGGCTTAGTAGCTATGCTCTTTGTCGCAAAGGACATATTCAGTATCTTATATTATGTTTTTTATTTGTTTGGTATACTGATGCAGACTTTTCCTACTTGTTATTTCGGCAGCAATTTCGAATTTATGTTTGATGAACTTCTTCAAGCTATCTATTCCAGTAATTGGCTTATGCAGAGTCCGAAATATAAGAAGCACATGATTCTCTTTATGCAACGGGCACTTAAGAAACGTCCTGCTTATGCGGGTGGTATTTTGCGTATACATTTAGATACATTCTTCTCAACATGCAAGGCGGCTTACTCGGTGTTTGCCATGGTATGGCAACTTAAAAATTAATTTTATATATAGTCGAAAAAGCGTAAGAACAATATGATATTATCATTCGAAGTGGGTAATTAAAAATTATAAATATATATAACATATATACTTAACTATAAAAAAATGGAAATAGTTTTCAAATTAAAATCAAAATTGTGGCATGCCTTTAATATAAATCACATCTTAATTTCACAGCATAAATAATATTTTATAAAATGTATTTCAATTTCAAAAATTCTAGAAATATTAATTACTAGCATATTTCAAGCTGTATTCATTGCTTTAAATGTTGGTAATGATTAAGTGTTAGAAAATCAAATAGTAGAGCCAGTTATTCACTGTCAAAAAACGATTCCAAACAATAATCTTCTTCTTCTTCTTATCCTCATCTCCCAGTGGAGCATAGGGCCTCTACTATCTTTTTATATCAGATTCTGTTATTTTATTCTCAACATATATCACTTCAGGTATAATTGGCTTCTCTTAGTTCTTCTTCAATTGTTCTCCTCAATTGATAATATTATTTGGGAATTATTACATTGGCATATAAATTTATTTGATATTATTTAGTATGAATTTATATTCACACAATACTTATTCGTCAGCTTCCAGATATTCTAAACATTAAGGGGAGTTACTTTTCTTCAATTTTCATAATTAAATAATTTAATCTGTGTCATATACAAATCTAAATTAACAATTGTAAATCTAATTGCTTATCTTAGCTATTCTCTAAATGTGCTAAATCATTTCCCATTCCAATTCAATATTCTTTGGATACATCTCTCCCTTAAATTATTTCGTAACCCCAGTTTATCTAAATGCCTTCAAAACCGAATGTTGTTTTCCAAATTTGTTGCAATGTATTTCAATACGAGTACGAAGTCTCATAGTGTCAGTTCGGTGCTGCTGTGTCGCATAGACATGAAGTTTTCCTGTATCTCTTATCAGTGGATTCCAATAAATTTGCAGTTGTCTTTCGCTACCTCGTTTTGGAGCCATGTTAACATGTTTGTTTTGTTAATGGTGCCCAACTCTGAAGAATACAAAGCTCACATACAGATTAGTTTCGTTGCTTAGATTGGGGGGTATCACGTGATGGATGCAACTATTTGGCATGAAGCGACAAATCCGACGAACTTTTTGCGATTTATCTGATTGTGTCTCGTTTATGTTAGTTTGTTTAGTTCTATTTCACGTCCCTAAGTCGTTGAATGCGATGGGAATATTGACATTTGTTGTGCTTTAAGGATTCAATGAAGCATTTAACTAATTTTAGACAAAACAGTTATATGATTGAAATCATTTTCTTGTTTCATGAATAAAGTTGAGTATCATATAACACATCATATATATATAGATATCATTTGAATATATATATAGTATATAGAGTTAATTTTCTTTTCATTATTTTTTTTTTTTTGTTATCTTTTACTCGTGCTGCCATTCACATATAATGACTTAATGTGAATACCTATAAAGGTTATTTTTAAAATTTCTATGAAATGAAACGTATAATCATTTGTATCAGTGCACCTCATCACTTGAAAGTATCTTACAGTATGAGTTCTTGTTTTTGTATTTGTATTCCAATTTAATTTTCATTAACACAATAAACCTAAGTTGCTTTTTTCACTTCTCCTAACTAAGCCGCTTGAGACTGAAATCGTTGTTGAGTGGCGTATCCCTGATGCCTTTTTGTTTAACACTTCAGTGTTTAGAACTGAAACTGTAGCCTGACAATCGATTCCGTAGGATTACTTTTATGTGTCTGTAAATTGTGCGCAATTATATTCGCATTAGTGCTTATGGTTTGGCATGGATTGGGCAATTTTGTGTTTCCATTTCTGAGATTTTCAATTTGTAGATAAGTATTTCGTAATTTAAAATTGTGGCAATAAAACTACGTTTAAGTCTCTTTATTGCAGCCCAAGAAATTAAATGGAAATTTGTTGCCTACCAAAATGCGACTTTTTGCAAATTAAACATTTTTTGGATAAAGTGATAAGCGAAGATTTAAATGCCACAAGATGGTTAGGATAAATAAAATACTTATGAAGAAAAATATAATTTTAAAGTATTAATTATAAAATTCCTAAATATTGAATTTTACATTTGTTCCCCGACATGGTTATGTTAATGATGGGTTGTTTATATATTTTATTTCCGGCTACAGGTCATCTTTTTAAATTAAATTTGTTAAATATTTTTAAATATTTTATATTACGACTCTTCTTAAGAGAGTCAAGAAATAATGATTATTATGTTGAGGAAAGTTGAGTTAGTGCACCTGAGCACTTTTATTCTATATTAACTGCGAGGTTTCTTCAAACCCCTTTTTGTGCCTTGACTGGATTATTATTTATCTCATCATCAGACTAAGTAATAATTGATCTCAGATCTGCATAATGAATAATCAATTCGTCATGTCTTTGGTTCTGTTGCCCATATTGCTCCATTCTAATCGTAATTTAAATCTTAAATATTAAGATTTAAAATTCAATTCAAGGAATTCGGCGTTCGGATAGCATATAAGACTTCAATCCATCGAAAGAAGTTTTTACAAAATTTTTAGTTTAACTATAAATTCTTATTCTTTATATTATTTCTACTGATTCTATAAATAATAGTTTGCAAAAATTTCATTTAAGTGTGTTTACTGCAGGCTTCAATATAGATTAAATGAATACTTTACAAACGACTCTAGATCTGTAAGAAATTAATAGGATAAAGAAAAGAAAAGAAGTGTTTTTCTTCTGTACCGACGATAGTTAAGAATTATTTAATTCGTTCTCATGGTTGCAGTGACATAAGCATTATTTCAGTAACATATGCTAAATAGAACTGTCAAGAAAGTACATCATGGCTAATTTAGACCACATATTTGTCATTTTACAATACGGATAGTTTAACAATCGCGGACTATGTAAAAATTATGAAAACTTAATAAAAATATGCTGATGATCTTAAAGCAATATACATTAAGACTGAAAAGTTTTCGGAAATTCTCATTTAAAATTCGCGCGCTGTATATTTTTCGATATTTTAAGTTTATGTAGTTTGGCAGCCCTGTCCTTAATTACTATGCCAAAAATGAGCGCGATCTGTCAGACAGTTCGTTTACGGCAGCTGTTGAAACCAGTTCACCTCAGTAGTGCGTTGCGAAATGTCTTCGACGGTCTTACGACCGTCCTGAAAGGCTTTGTACCACTCATAAACTTGAGTTTTCGATAAAACTGATTCCCCATAAGCCTTTTGTAGCATTCGCAACGATTCTGCACACGAAATTCGTTCGAAACACAAAATTTGATGCAAACTCTTTGTTCAATATTTTTTTCCATTGTTTTTTTCGCAACGCACTACTGAGGTGAACTGGTTTCAACAGCTGCCGAAAACGAACTGTCTGACAGATCGCGCTCATTTTTGGCATAGTAATTAAGGACAGTGCTGCCAAACTACATAAACTTAAAATATCGAAAAATATACAGCGCGCGAATTTTAAATGAGAATTTCCGAAAACTTTTCGGTCTTAATGTATTTGCCATTTTACACTATGAATTCTTTAACAATCGCCGAAATGGTTAAGATTGGAAAAATTTACTACAAAAATGGTACTTTTGTTGGGTCAAATTTTTTTTAATAATGAGCCCAATTTTTGATTTGAAGTATATATAAACAAACTAAATTGTCAAATCTAGGGTAGAGAAAATCCACAAAAGACTATTGTAACCAAGTCGTTACATAGTGTGGGATTATGTCCGGAGGCACTATCAACGGAAAGGAGCGAATGCCTTAGATTTAATACAGTCTATTAATTCTGCTCGCTGCAGCTAAATAAACAGCAGTTCCTCTTTGACATGAAATTAAAAAGCAGGTTGTAATTTATACGTGATTTAACAGATTAGTGTCAAATATGACAAGTCACACTGTGCTTTCTATGTTGGCTTTATACAGCGAACAGCACGTTTTGATGATGCGAAATGATCATTAAGATCGCTTTGTTTGTCATCATTGAACTTACTTTCGCAGGGTTATGGAAAGGGTCATACTTACTCTGGTAACTTTAAATTTTTGTCACTTGGAAATGAAAAACTGTTTCCTCAATGCTAAGTTATTGCTGATAAGTCAGCGAAAATAACTTCAAAAGGATCGAATACTGTAAGCTGTCCTGTAGAGAGCATTTAAATTACGTTATATTTCAAACTCAATGGTAAGATCGAAATAATATATTATACATCTTAATCTTAAGACTATTTACACTTATTTTTGAAATCACTAAATTTGTAAACCCGTGATTTAAACCTTGTGTTGGAATGTTAGAGGTGATATTGTTTTGTTCTACTTGATTTTTTATAGATAAGTGGAAAGTTCAAAAAATTAAACTTATAATTCAATCTTAATATATATAAATTAATTAAACAATTTATTTAAATTTTTTTAATGACATTCTCGTTTAAGTGTGAGTGATTGACATTGTATCATCACCTTTTCCTCTTGCTGTGTCCTATTCTACGACATAAGAACAGTTTTCTTATCTTGCTTTATAGTAGGTGTACCAGAAGGGTATATGCACCCTTTTATATTACTTTTTGCGTTGTTTAACTGTACTACCATATAAATTGGTTACAGTTTTTTTTTATATTTAACGTACATCCGTTTTCCTGCCTTATTTACTATCCCAATATAGTACGATTAATAAATTCATAAAGTTAATAGAAATCTTTTCAACATTCTCATTCTTCAAATCTGGACCCTATCTTACTGGTGGGCTCAAAAATTTCTAAAGAAATTATATTAATACAATATTTTAAATTTAAATTGCTAAAAATTATTGCTGAGGTCATAAGATCCGCAATCAAATTTATTTTTCTTGTATATTTCGTAACCTGGATCTCATAAAGATTTCGTGAATATTTCATGGAGCACTTAAGTTAAAATTTCTAATTATTATTACACTGATTAAATGGCCCACAAAAGTCCAATAAAGTTTTCATGCTACAATAATCTTAATTGAGAGG